GAAGCAAAAAAAATGTATAATAATTACATAAAAGAAAATTTGCTATGCCGAGTTTGGAAAATCTAAATCGTATCTTGAACCAAAAGCACTTGTCCGTATTCATTTTGAATGACCACTCGAACTAAACTAGTAAATTTTTTTTGTTAACGGGTAGAAACCTTTTGATTATCCCGCAAACTTCGGCCGACACTTCTAATTGGTCTCAATCAGCGTATTTACCATTTTCCATTTTTCTTTTTCAGAGCCTTTTTTGGGCTGCTTGGGGATCAAGGTCTAAAATGAAAGTTAAATCGGGTCGTAGTATGTCTCGTTGCGGCGTCATACCAAAAATTTTGTTAAAATCAGTCTCGTTGGTGGCTCCCTGGTAAACCAGAGTGCTATCAAAATAACGGTCAATAATAATTATCTTGTTTTGTTGTAAGTTGGGTTTTATTATTTCCTCGTTCAAACTAACGAAAGCCGTCAAGAAAGCAGATGCAAGTTCTTGATTGCTCAGGGAATTTCCTTTCTCGGCAATTTCTTGCCAAATTTTTTGTCCGGTTTGAGTATCACGTCAGTTGCAAGTTATCAGGTCAAATTCTGCTTTTTTCGCCAAATTTTTTAGGAGAGTAGTTTTGCCGCTTCCGTCAATTCCTTCCAGAGTGATTAGTAATGACATTATTGATATCTTTTTAGACTAAAAATATTAATGTGACGAAACTAGGAGGCGTGGCCGAGTGGTTTAAAGGCGGTAGTCTTGAAAACTACTAATACACAAGTATTCGGGGGTTCGAATCCCTTCGCCTCCTCCATTTATCTGAAAGCAAATTTATGGATTATCATCTAGGAAAAATTGTGTATATTACTTATTAACAATAGAAAATGAACAAACTATCAGAAATTACTCAGCAATATTTTCGCACTGACTTACCGCAATTAGCCATAGGTGATAAGGTCGAAGTAATTACTAAAAATTTTGACCTTAGGGCAAAGAGTGAAAATCCTAAATATCGTCTTACTCATTTCTTGGGAACAGTAATCGCCCAAAAAAATAAGCGACAAATTAGTTATACTTTTTCGGTTTTAAAAGCCAGTAGTAAAATAGCCGTTACTAGTGTCTTTTCCTACCATTCTCCCCTCCTAGTTAGTATCAAAAAAACCGGTCGAATTAACCGCCCTCTTCGCCGAGCTAAATTATACTTTTTAGAACGGGAAACGGCTCGAAAAAAGGATAACGAATAATATTACTAGCGAATGGAAAAATTTAGAAAAAATGGGGAAAATAGGTTTGAGTTTAATTTTCGAGGTCGGGAAGTGATATTCGAAATTGACCAAGTGGCTCGTAAGTGCGATAAATCAATTTTGGGTCGTTATGGTAATACGACCGTTTTAACTGTCTTAGTGGTTAAAGAACTAAACAAAAAAATCGATTCATTTTTTCCTCTAATTATCACCGTAGAAGAAAAATTTTATGCAGTGGGGCGAATTCCGGCCCAGTTCAACAAACGTGAAGGAAAGCCTAGTTATGATTCGGTTACGGTAGCCCGTTTAATTGACCGCTCTCTGCGGAGTTTTTTTCCCCTCTCCGGTAATCAAGAAGTGCAGATAATTAATCATATTCTTTCAGTTGACCCTCTTTGCGATCCTGGTTTGGTTGCCGCTTGAAATTCAAATCTTATTTGTTTTCTTTCTTCATCTTTACCTTATTTTTCTATTCCCTTGGCTACAACGGTGGTAGATGAAAGAACGGACCAATTTTCAGGAGAACTAATTATTAGTGCCACCGAAGAAAAAATTGTTATGGTAGAGGCTAAGATTCCCGAAATTTCCGAGGAAAAGTTATTCTCGATTTTAGAAAAATCTCATCAAGAAATTGGCTATTTAATCGGTTTTTTTCGGTATATCGCTAACAGTTTAGAAGTTAAGAAATGAGAACAAAAATCAGAGGTGTATGAAGAAGAAAATAAGTGATTTGAGCAAAAGATTGATGATTATTTGCACAACATTTTTGGAAGGACAGATTTTTCTTGGTGAAAAAAAGAACAAGAATGAGAGAAATTCCGACGACAACTAATTCGGGAAAGCGAAGAAGAAATTACTGATTTGGTTAACAAAATTGGGAACAATAGTTTAAAAAAAATGCTGCGGGAAACGTGAATTTCTTACCAAAAACGACTGGATGGACGCACCACCAACGAAATCCGTCCGGTAAAAATCTACCTTGATTACTTACCCGCCGTTCATGGAAGCACTCTATTCACACGGGGAGACACCGAAGTCCTTTCTATAATAACTCTGGGTAAAGTCAGCGAAAAGCAAGTAATTGATAACGTATTTTCCCGAAGCCACAAACACTTTATTCATCATTACAATTTTCCGAATTTTGCTGTCAATGAATTAATCAGTCAACGTGGTATTTCTCGTCGCGAAATCGGACACGGAGAATTAGTAGAGAAAACTTTTGCCTATTTACTACCTACTCTTGATGTTTTTCCTTATACTATTCGGGCCGTCTCCGAAGTTCTAGCGGCTGACGGTTCCTCTTCCCAAGCTGCGATTTGTGCAACCTCCTTGGCTTTGATGGCCGCCGGGGTCCCTTTAACCAGACCGGCGGCCGGAATAGCGTTAGGTCTTTTGGACGGCCAAATTTATACTGATATCAATGGTCTAGAAGACAAATTAGGCGAAATGGATTTTAAAATTGCTGGGACGGAAAAAGGGATTTGTTCGTTACAACTGGACGTAAAAAATCAAGGAATTAGTCTAGAACTGCTGAAAGAATGTTTAGAAAGAGGGCAATCTGCTCGGATTTATCTTTTAAAAGAAATGAAGAAACATCTTTTTGCCCCCCCGCCCAACTCTACCAACCCAAATTATTAAGTGTCGACGCTTTTACGTGGCTAAGGAAAAAATTGGTTGAATTATTGGTCCTAGTGGAAAAACAATTAATCAACTTACTGCCCAAACCGGTTCTGTTATTGAAATCCAGCCAGATAACTACGTTCTTATTTACCACCCAGATGAAAATCAACTAACTAAAACTTTTAACTTGATCCAGAATATTATTAACCAAAAATGGAATTAAACCATTCCTTTCTCTAATTTCAATCGATTATCCAAATTTTGGTGTTCCTTCCACAAATTGTACCATTTAACTAGGTGGTGAATTGAGTAAATGAAGAGAGTGAGAGCGATTATTAATAACGCAAAGACAGGGGAGGAA